AATAGCTGGTAGATTCGATCAAGATGAAACTGAAGCTGCTAATATGCTCGGTATATCCTCTATGTACATATATATACATATGTGTATATACACACACACACACATATATATTTATGTATGCATGTATGTGTCTCTGTATATGGCTAATATTTTATGACATATAAAAAAGTATACAATCCGTAGACTCAATAATTTTGTGTTAGATGCCGACGGAATTTAATTTCCTTGTTTCTTCTAATGGTTAATTTTCTATGACAATAATATTCAATTCTTTTCAATATTCATATCCTCGATACTATACATCTGGCAGATGCGAAAGATTATGCTAGCTAGTTAAAATTGTTAAGTATGCATTCTTTGTTAAGATTTCTTTATAATGTAAATTTAAAACATTATTTCAGTTTATTTCAAAATAGCTGGCTTTTAATATCATAATAAATTTGATTGCAGATTAAAGTCTGTTGTATACTAATTAATCTAAGTACAGAGATGGGCATAACATAAGCATTTTAAACGATAAAATGAACAGATTTGCTGAACAATGTGATAACTTCTACTGAGCATTTCATTAATTCAACCAATTACATATTTATGTCATTTTGTGTACAACAGTCTTTATTTGCATAATCAAGTTTAATATTATAGAGATTATCATATTAAGATAAATTATAAAAGAAAATATTCGCAGAAAAGCCGCAACTTTGACAATATTATAATTTTATTCATCATTATTGTTAGATTTTTAGCAAATTAATTTTGCACTTAACCCTCTGCCTAAATGACAGGGGCTTATATTGAGTCTATTTCCTATATATCAAATTTTCTGTTATAATAGAGAAATTTGCATGTTTACGTCAGTCAAATAAATTCCTGTTGTGTGCGTAAACAATCTTTGTAAGGATTGCTTGGTAAAATAAAATATCATTATCATTAAAAGTTTTTACATAACTTTAGAAAGATATACAGTTCTTATATCTTAATATAACCACTTAATATAACTGTATATAACTCAAATCAAGAGCTTAAGCCATGGCAACAGTATAACTAAATTATAGTTAACATAAAACAAACAGAATTATTTCATAGATTGTACTTAGCATCCATTTTTCTTCTAATAAATTTGGCTGCACTAGTGCATATTGGTGCAAATTAAAGCTTTTTGTATATCAAACTCTCTCTCTCTTCTCATACATTAAAAACATAATATAAGTAATTTAATTAAAATATCTTGAATATATATCAATATAAATTATATTGAGCATTTTGTCAGTCCAAAACCTGCTTAGATTAGACTATACATACATTTTTACATCATAATTTATATACCATAGCCTTTAATATGTACCAATACTAGCACATTGAACCAAATTTGCTGTTAAGCTTTTTAAAGACACTGAATAGCTCATTTATTTTGTGCATACAAAAAGCTTTCCGTTATATTGTTTTCATTTTCTTTTGTTTTTATTTTATGTAAAAATAATGTTAACCTAATAAAAATTTCTTTATTTTTACTTAAATTTAAAGAAGTGTTAAGTGCTAAAATAAACTAAAGATACTAAAATATAAAATTTACCATGGTTTTTTTTATATTAAAATACATGACATATAAAAATATAAGAATTGCAGCATTTCTAGGTATATCGTCTGGGAGTACCAATACTACATTTAAGTCTGTATAATTCTGTTTTCTGGATGGAGTTGACCCATCATTCATGCTGATTGTTTTGAGTCATACACTTAAGTTTAATAAAACATGTAGATCTAACAATAAAAATAGGACTTGTGACAAGCTCTTATGTCAATCTTCAGTAATAATCAGTAATAATTTGTTTATCACAATAAATATAGCTATGTGTCAAAGGCGATACATTCATCAATTGCAATAAACCAAAAATAGTTTAAATAATACATGACCTGTGTATTGTATATATATATATAGTTTCAAACATATTTTCATTTTTCCATAAATAATCTGATTATATAATAAAATTATTAATCAAATGTCATCATTATTTGTACATTTAATGATTTATGTTTTTTACAATTCACTCGATATCATTTAGATATACGTTGATGTTCATGTGTTATAACTTCTAAAAATGTCGAAAAAATTCGCAAAATTCTTTAATCGATGCTCAATGATTCTGATGACAAATGGTACTCATAAACATTAATTTTGTTCACGAAATTGTAATATTACAAATTGTATATATCAATTGTTGAAAGATAATATTTATTACAATGTTTATTAAAAACGTTTAGGTAGGATAAAAACAAAGATAATGCAATTGCTTATGGCTCGTCTTTAATAATATACATTTGTTTTGCTAATAATATCGATACGTAGATACTGTTAATTTTGAATTCAATGCAATTAGTCGTAAGAATACTAGGTCTTTTGCAAATCTTGGATATTTTATAATATTATCATTGAACATCATACTTAATCCTTTTTTTTATTTTTTTTTTTGAATCAAATTCTTTTAAAATACTTTAAACTATATATTACACATTAATTTTTAGAAACAAAGAAATGTATGAATGCTGATATTATTTTCTATATCTATTATACTTTAAAATTTATTTAATTTAATAATTTTGTTTATGAACCCATTTGTCACAATCGGACAATCGAACAAAATTTTAAATAATTTCTGAATGTTATTTTTTCCTTTGTATTCATTGATACGCAAGATTTGAATGATACCCTAATATTTCAACAAGTTAAAGCTAAGTTATTAACAAACAGCAAATCTTTATATTGTATGCACGATTTTGCACGTGCACTAATATTTATCATGTGTGCTGTGGATGTGTCTGTGTATATGTGCGCAATCGTACGCGCATATGTGCATGTACCACATATAAACGCTAACAAAGAGTCACTCGAGCGTCGCAAGAACGACGGGACACGAAGTGTTATGGTTTAAACTTAACTAGAGGTATGTTCTTCGAATTTAAACACTTATCACACACCCATTCCGCATAAATCTCTGCCGTTAATAATTGATAAGCATGTTCTGACAATCCTGTGCAACCCCTGAAATAATCGCGTTCATTAAAACGCGCGTTTTTATTATCTTGCTAAATCACGTCACACTATCAACTCACCTGTGAAACCAAAAATTACAACCTGATTCACACAGAATTGCCTGATCATTGTCGTGTACTTCCTTGTGACAAACCCCACAAGGGTAAATTGGTGGCGCATTAGGATTTTGCGGATTGAATACCATTGACTGCTCTGGAGGATATACCTAAAAGAAATCAATAAATCATATGTAAATTTGCATAATTTACATATTATGCTAAATATAACCATAATAAATTAGACATATTGTAATGTACTTGATAAAACAAACAACTTACTTTGACTGAGGACATTGGCATTGACTTTGGACCCATTCCTGGACCTTGAAATCCATGTGGTGGCAGAGAAGCTCCCATGGAATTAATGGGGTGTCCCATAGGTGGTCCACCGCCCATATTATTGGGCATTGTACCCATTGGTCCTGTCATATGACCTCCCATTTGATTATGATGACTAATATTCACATTAGGCATATTCATTCCTGGACCACCCATATTCATATTGTTCATTTGATTCGGCACAGTCATATTCATATTGTTTGATGTCATCGAACTCATAGTAGTCATAGGTCCATTCATAGGTCTTCCTAAATTGTTAAGATTGTTTCCCATATGATTCGGATGAGGTTGAGATCCATTGTGTCCTAATGGACTATTCACGTTGTTTAGCGATGGTCCGTTTAACGGACTGTTGGGCGGTATATGACTGTTCATGTTATTCATATTCATTGGTCCATTAGGCATATGATTAGATCCTCCCATAGTGTTCATCGGAGAACCTAGAGGCCCACCCATAGGACTACCCATATTGTGACCCATATTGTTCATCGGACTACCCATAGGCCCACTATTCATATTATTCATTGGACTACCCATAGGTGGACCACTTAGTTGCGAATTTCCCATATGACTCATATTCATATGATTGTTCATAGTGTTTATTGGACCAGGTGGCATGTTTGGCCCCATATTATTCATGGGGCTCATGCCGCCGAGAGGAGCATGATTCATAGGAGACATAGCTCCCATATGATTCATATGATTTGTCATGGGTGAATTACCCATAGGGCTCATATTGCCCATATTATGTGGCATCATAGGACTCATGCCACCCATAGAAGTTAAAGGACTCATGCCTCGCATAGGAGGCCCACCCATGTGATGCGGATGATGAGGATGCATATGTGGAGGACCTCCATGCATCATTGGGCTTTGTGAAGTCTGTGGTGGTGTATCGTCAAAAGGATTACTCGCTACTATTGTATCACCGTAACCCGATAAAGGTGGGGGTAATAGATCCTATTGAATAATTGTTATGCATTAATATCAGGATGATAATTAAATGCTAACACATAAATATAATAAAGATACAATAACTTACCTGTACAGACGGAGGTTGCTGTGGAGGTGGTTGAGCAACATTTGAATTTGTACGTCTTTTTTTCTTAGGATTAGTACCAGCTGGTGGTGGCGGTGGTGGATGAGGATGGGCAGAAGAGTCAGGATGTGGGGCATTTGGGCCCATATTCACACCCATTCCCATACCCGCCAATGGCATCCTTGTGAAGGGTGGCATGCCCGCGATATTGTGGCTCATTTCCTTCGTTCACTTTCCTTATTTTATCATGCCAGTACCACTAAATTTTCGTGGCAAGTAATTATTGCTGATCCACTGTTAAAAAGAAGAAGAGCTTTGTTGTGATATAGATTTACTTAGAGAGCTATACGCAACTATATCATACTCTAATATATTTGTACATCATATTTATAAATTCCGTAGATAGGTGAATATTTATTAGTCATTATTTTATTTATAGTCATTATTTTAAATATAATATTTTAGATATTTTTAAGGAATTAAAAATTAAATTAAACTTCATTAAATTGGATATATAATAACAACTATGTATATGTGTATTAATATAAGATTATATATATATATATAAGAATGAATGACGAAACAAATATTGCATGTACATACAAAATGCATACAAGATTTTTTTATTTAGCTACAAAATATTTTCTCCGATTATAAACATATCCCTCCTTACACCAAAATATACAGAATAATCTATAATCCAAATAAATGCAAAGATGGACATAACTCCATAAATATCTTTCGCAATAAATTCATTATTAATCACATTTCTGTACAATATTCACTTTTTATACATAGTATTACCGAATATATTAATCAGAGAAAAGAATATGTTTTATCCAGCCACTAATTAAATATCCCGATAACTGGCAGATGAATAAAGCCACAGATAACGATAGCAAAACATTGTATGTACGTGTATATCGCACTGTCGTTCCATTAAAAAGTTACTCTCGTCTCGAGCACGAGAGAGTTATCATTCATAAATTTACTAGCGTACGGGGAAGAGAGAGAGAGGAAGAGAGAGAGAGAGAGAGAGAGAGAGAGAGTGAGAGAGCGCAGTATATAATCTACGTATAAATATACACACGAATCTCTGATCCACGTATATACATTTATCTCTCGAAGCATGTCGCCTATATTTATATGCGCCGATATAAATAACGAAATTACTACCGTTACTTCGAGTAGCCCTAGTGGTTGGTTCGTCCGTTAACGTGTGGAGGCGGAAAATCCAGAAGACGAGAGAGAGAGAGAGAGAGAGAGAGAGAGAGAGAGAGAGAGAGAGAAACACACACATACACGCACGCACACAGAGAGAAAGAGAGAGCGGGGAGCGCGTTCTCGACGCGATCGTACCTTGAGAACGGCGATAAGAGACCCGTGATACAACAAATAGAGGAGACCTCGCGTCGCGCGGCGTGCACAAAAGGGAACAAAATAAATTCCGCCTGGCAATCTCGCTGGACTAACCTAACCACGCGAGTTCACCGTCGAGATCTCCGCAGGCGCCTCCGCAGTCTCATTATGTGTGCGTGCGTGCGTGTGTATGTGTATGTGTGTGTGTGTGTGTATACGCATGGCGTAGCGTAAGCGTAGTATAGCGCGTAGATCGCGCACTCAGTCTCTCGGAGCACCGGGCGATTTAAAAAGCCGGTCGAGCTTCTCGTGTTATTGATGCGAAGCGCGATCGGCGTCCTTTTCTTACTCACCAACGCATTATAGGGTAGGCGACGACGCGAACGTGCGCATAGCTCGGTCGTTTTTTCGACGGGATACACCAGCACCATGAATCGCGGCTGTCTCGATCGCCGTCTCGCTGACCTCGGTGGGACGAGCGGTATGCGGGGATTCGCGATTCCGATTCGCGCCTCTCGCAAGACGCGTCTCTCGGTGGCGTTAACGGGCCACGCATTCACGGTCGCGCGTACACGATCGCGATAAACGCACTATCGCACTTTCACGCAGCGCGTCGCACTGTTGAAGGAACGGAAGCGAGGTAACGCACGCCACGATCCCTCTTAGGTCGCCATTGTCGCATTACGCGTGTCCCTCTTACGTCTGTATGTCGCTCTCGGGCGCGTTCCTCTTAACGCTTGCAACGCTCGTGAGCATCATCTGTCTTTGTTTAACTTTCGGTGAACAAGGATGATATGATACCATGAGTCGTTAAGTGGAACGCGTCTACCGTCTACGAGGGCCGTGAACTACTACAGGCTCCCGATAGATAACGTCACTGGTCGCATTTCGGTCGTCTGCGCGGTTTAAACGCGGAGAGAAGCGAAAGTAAATAGCAATCGCGTGGATCCGCTACGCGCGATCTGTAATTCGCGCGTAAAAAAATACGATAAATTCTAACGATTTCACCGCGTAAAAAATGCTCACTTTTATATGATAAAAAAATCACTATAATTTTGTATGAATAATTTTTTTCTTTTTTTAAATAAAAATTGTTTATTCACGTGAACACTAAAAATGTTGTTTTACATGTCATTTCACATTTCTATTGCCGTCACTATATGTATATCTATTTATGTTTATTTATTTGGTTTTTATTAAAAGTACGCACATACATATAAATTTTTATTTTCGCAGAAAATATCAATTTTTGTATTCACTTTTTGCTTTTTAATATAGAATTTTAATATAGAATTTATTATTTAATATAGAATTATTATTTAATATAGAATTATTTAATACTTTTTAACGGATAAATAGATCCGATGAAAAATACTGCAATTAGTTCTAAAATTCAAATATTAATTGTAAGAGAGAAGTTCATGATACAAATTAGTATATGATTACCGCACATATATAACATCACATGCACTCTGTACAGGTGCGTCAAATACACACTGTGACATTCTGTACGGCGGATCTTCCGTCCACATCCGGGAGGGCTTAAAGTTGTCTCACGATCCTAGCGTAGAGAGCTTGCACGAATCATTTTAATTATTTCAGTTACATCAGTAAATTAACCCGACTCCAACAAGCAGAAAACAATCCTCGTGGATATTTACTTCGGACAATACCTATCTACTTACGTAATATACATACATACACAACACATATACGTCCGGAACCATGATTATGTGCTATTATTTTGTTCTTATTTTAATATTAATCTAGATCGCAACTATGAAACACGCGCGAGATATCGCGTGATTCGTCGATAAATTCAAACGATTATTTCAGAAAGATATAATGTACATCATGGTATATGAAAATATGCTAAAAACATGAGATTCGCACATATATATACATATACCAATTAACATAAAATAAGGTACGCTCTTTTATGGGATACATAAAAGTTTATCGTTTTAATAAAAAAGCTTTATGTTTTGATATTTTTATGCTGATATTGCGTGATAAAATAACGAAAATTTTTACAAACTTTTACCTTTGTCTCTTTTTTACGAAACCGCATATAGCTGTTTTCATTACAATTATATAATTACATGTAGACATAAACAAGCCGCTGATATCCATGACATCTAGATTATATTTTGCATCGCGAAAGAGAAATCCCTATATAAACGGATTGTCTATATGTTGTCCGAATAGACAGATGAAATTAATCCGATCGGAAAATAATTCCCTGGGAAATAATATGAAAAAGCGTAGAGATGCTGGTTTATCCGCTCACGTTAACGGCTCTATCGATCTCATTAACGGCCTGGGCACTCGCGATTTATTTTTATCGAAGGATAGAGTATAGACTTTCCCAGAGAGTCACGTCGTTTTCGTCTGGGCAAAAGTGGTACAAATCGGGAGCATCGTGAGCAGAGTGGAAAAACTGGGCCAATCCCTGGAGGGGAAAAAGCTGGAATGGGCGTCCTGGGGGGAACCCTTGATAAGGATAAGGATAGAGTATGACAAAAGACGTGAAGACGGACAAGGGAAGGATTTAATAAATTTCTCCGGAGGAGTCTACTAAATGGGGTAAATCATACGGTTATGAACTATTTAAGAGGAATATCCGTTTTCTTAGTAAAATTATGGAATAATGCTCTGTTACATATAATAAACAAACACATGCTATTGTTTTATATTATTAACTTAATAACATAAAAATGTGAAATATAGGTAATAAAATATAAGTTAATATATTTCAATTCGCTTGGACTTTATATTAAAAGTACGTAATAATACGTGTAAAGTACGTAATAATACGTGTAAAAAAATGTTTTGTAAATCTCAAATTATCACACGGAGTCTTTCATAATCCCAGAAATATATCTTTTCTGAATTCATTTCGTATTTAGATTTTCTTTTTTAAATATTTGCATTAAGTAGAAATGTTGGAAGAAAGATAACTCATGAAAATTCATAGAGTTTTCTGGGAAACAGTTTACTTTTATATAAAAATAAAATACGGAACTTTTCTCACAATTCAACAATAGTGCTACGATTTATCACAATCATGTATCTTTACGAGATGAATAATCATTTTCAATAAAAATATTTAAAAAGAAAAAAAGATTTTTATATATTATACACTAAAAAATAGCTCTCTCGATAAGCCCAAACTCAATCAATGTTATTTAAAGCAAAACGTGTTCTACCTAACACAAAACGATAAAACTTCGATTTTCCATTAACATTATCATTATTGTATCTTAAAAGAAAGGATAAAAAATCTGGGGAAAGAATCACAATCGAATGGGCTTAATAGGAGTGGCGGCGAAGAGTTCGGCAATTGGTAGATTGTTCGGTGTAGCAATCGACTATCTACGCGAACAGATTCCGCAAACAGCGACATTTTACAAACAAAAACAGCGCGCCAATCAATCTGTCGCGTGGTGCACGCGTGTCCTGAATAAGAAATGGGTGATTTGCACAAATTACGCGAAGGCTCGACGGTTACTCAGCCGGAGATCTCAAAAAAGGAGGCGGTGAGAACAGCACACTTGTCGAAGATAATCCTGGTAACTTCTTCTTGACAGCTCGTTACGACGCTCGCTTATAATCGCGCATTAGAGACAGTTGATAATTTTTCAAGTTTTTTTTTTTTTTATTAAAGATTAATCGTTTCTAAATTAGTCTAACAATAAGAAGCTAAAAGAAGCTGTTGTTAAAAATTAATACACTGGAAATAGAATTCTGTATATATGACTTTAAACAATTAACGAATACTTTTGAAAATGAAATATCCTGTCAACTCCCTTGGCGAATAGAAATATGAGATTTAACTGTCAAATATATTTCAAAAGTCAACGGATCGCGTAACTTCGTATCAATCGCATATCACTTTTCCCGAAATATTTTTATTCGCTTCAGACTTGTTCGTAAAAATTTTTTGAAAGTAACCAAAAGCAGATCAAATTAAAAAAATATTTATTTAAGAATCGATTTATATACTGTACATGAAAGATCGACTGTAAAAGTTATATCAAAAATTTCATTACATTTTTCGACGGCTGAGACTCATTGGAGTTCACGTGGTATTTCGAATCTACATTCCTAAATTTTTATAGAGATCCATCTCTATTGCACACGTATGTATGCATGACACGCATGCAATCTCGGTTTATTACCACTCGAACACACTTTTCCATCGCCGACCGGATGCGCCGATTGCATCGCCGACGGAGTCGAGAGAAGCGATCCTTGACCTGTTACTCAAGGATACTTCGACATTCCACGGTGTCCCTTATAAAGAATTTAACTCGGACGATTCCTCCAACGGCGGTGGAACGTATCTCGAACGTCACTTCGCGCTCGTCGGATCGTTAATATGTCTCGCGAGAAAATGTAGCACTATTGAAGAGATTCAAGAAAGTCCGCTGCTGTTTTCACTGCTCGAATGCCGTTCAATTGTTATCGAAGAAGTAGCGGTAGCCATTTCTTTGTGATTTCTATCTTTTCTGTTTTCAGAATCTGATAATAGAACGATTAATTCTGTTTTCTTCAAATGATCGTTATTGTTGAGAAAATATATCGCGTCAATTATATTATAGGAAGAAAACTCGAGATCCGATTTGATTGAACAAGATTGTCTTCGATTTGAATATCAAACACGATTTTTAAAATATCGAAGTAATATTTCAACTGATATAGATATTATGCAATCGCAACTATATATAAAAGAGAAGATAAGACAATGATCGACAATTTATCGAAAAACATTGTCGCAATTGCTAAAGGATGTAGACTGTCATAACATTACATAACATTATTAAGGAAACGCTTTTACGGATTTGAAATTTATTAGCATTACGATAGCTATCAGTTATTTTTCCAATAACTATCTCGGCTCTAGTAAACTCACATTGGCATGATTGCGCAATGTTTTCTCCGTGCACGTTACAATGTATCGACGAAACTTCAATAAAGACCAAACTTGCTTTTATTGTTTTTGTGTATTGACCGAATTCTCAATACGAATCCTCAACATTTGCGCAATATGAATTATTACACAATAATATTGACCGTAATGAGACTCGTATACATTTCAAAAATATGTTCAAATGAAAATACGTGTGTGTATTTAATTCCGTCAAAATATTTATTTGCTTCCTGTATTATTTAATGAGAATGTAACGATCCGAGTCCCTCTCGCAACTTTTCCTACGACATTTGTGTGATATAGACATCTTGATGCATTATTTTGCATTTATTATATTTACAAAAGAAATCGCGCATGTTTACGCATATCATCATTTTCGCACGAGAAAATTTCCCCGCCGCCACTCGATTTGCCTTTCGAACAGGCGATTGACGGCGATAATTACACGGCGATGTTTGCGCGGCTGCGAACCGTGTCAATTTCCCGTGGTGGTCCTCGGGTCCACTCTACGTGCGTTGCGAGCGCGTCGAAATACAGCCGTCGAGTTTTCAATCAATAATGTCATGATAAAGTCCGGAGAAAAATCAGAGACCATAGCACACACGCACGATACGCAATCTCGAGCACGAATAATATCGCGTTTACAGCTCTTTCACCACAAGCGCGCAATCTTCTATATGTCTTCTTAGAACCTAAGACTACGTGATTAATAGAATCCATATTAATATTGTTTCAATATGTAATTTTGAAAACAAACAAAAAATTCGTTGA